TTATTTGAATATGTTTTGTTTCAAAATTAGCCATACAAATTGTTTCTATCTGGTTCTGAATATGCCTCTAGTGTCTGACTGACTACCAGTTAGAAAATACCAATCTCATTAAGCTAATTCCTCAAATGGCATACAAACATTGACAAAACAAAGTAAAAGGCCTATTTATCGGCCTGTTTTATTATAACGTGATACTAATCATCCCATATAAATAGATATACTTGGTTGGCATGGGATCCATTTGAGATTGATAGGGCGACATTCGGATAGGTACTTATACGTATTGTGTTTCGATTGCTCGTGACACGATATATTACATTATAGTTGAAATATTTTACGAACTTTGTATACGTATGAAAAAAGTATTGACCTAAAAACTTGACAATTTTGAATAGTCATAGACTAAAAAAGTTATTCTTTAAGATGTTGGTTTTTTTATGAGATAAGCCGGTAAACGAGAAAACGGATCACCTGATGCAATCGGCGTCGCTCATTGTTAACCGGAACACCAGAGGTGTTACAAGTGCGTTACCGGCCTTTTGGGGATTAGGAATTTGAGGATCGTTGGGAATTCAGGAATTAGGGAGATTGGGGAAGGGGAGGGTAATTGGGCCTCCGGTAACCTCAGTCACACGACGAAACACAACGCAAGCAAGTTGTTTCACGTCGGTTTTCTGTGAGGCCGTGGTATCACTCCGGTTGAGCCAGCTCATTCGTGCCGAAGCATGGCTCTCCCACACTTAGCACAGTAATACAGCTCTTTTAATATTTTGCCAATACTTTCTATTTAACCTTGCGTAAATTTTAAGGAAATGTAAATGATACCGACTGTAATTATTATTTATTTATTATAATTATTACAATAATTTATGCGGTATCTTTTATTGTTTGGGTCAACCTGAAATACTGAAGGGAAACGAACATTGAGATTATTATTTATAGGAAAAACTTTGAACAAAGGCTGATTTATGTTTTTAGTTTGACAACGTTTACAATGACAGAATATTTTATTATTCTTTTACTTCGAAAGCTTCTTATTATTATCGTTTAAAGAAAATAATATTCTTGACAATAATAGTCTGAGGCGTTTCACTAAAATAACTACTCTTGGAACTGATTTAGAAGGAATGGAAGCTTTTTTTACGGGATCAGCCGGTAACCGAGCAGACGGATCACCTGATGGTACGCAATTGTCGCCGCCTATGGACACATGACACACCGAGGCGTTACAAGTACGTTACCGGCATTTTGAGAATTAGAAATGTGAGGATTGTGGAGGATTGGGAAATGGGTAATTGGCCCTCCGGTAACCTAGGTTTTACTCACACGACGTTACACAACGCAAGCGTTGCTTCACGTCGGTTTTCTGTGAGGCCGTGGTATCACTCCGAGTCTCTATTAAGAATCTAGTTTTAAGCCAGTCAACTTATCAACGTGGATTTTAGACATTTGTGGACATATAATTTATATATTAACTAGCTTTTGTCAGTGCCTCAGCCTGTGGGTCCGTGGGTTAAAGAGTAGCCTATGTATTATTTATTGCAGTGCATAATCTACTCATGTTCGCTTCAGCCGCTTTGACGTGGTTAAGCAAAAAACATACACACAAGCTCACTTAGAAAATTTCACATTTCTAAAAAAATAACATAACATCACGCCTTTTATCCACGAAAGGGTAGGCAGAGGTGCACATTACGGCACTTAATGGCACTGTACAATTTAGCACGCACTTTTCACTATTTATGTTATGAGTCGCATGTAATAGGGGGTGAGCCTATTGCCATATACTGGGCACAGTTCCAGACTCCGTGCTACCACTGAGAAAGTCCCAGTAATACTTTGCCTTACTCGGGAATCGAACCCGAGACCCCAGTGCCTGGCAGTCGCACTTGCGACCACTCAGCCTATGAGGCAGTCAATATTTAGCGTACATTTTTAATATTAGTAAGATATATATATACACACAGATGAATCAAGGTAATACAGGTGATTCGAAATGAAAGTACATAATGTAAGTGTAATATGTCGCACATAAAATTCTAAACTTTAACATCGCAATTTCTCATTCACAATAAACGCGATATAACGTCTAAAACGATTGTAAAATGCCATATTACAAAGCAACCATAAGGTTTCATAATGCCACGGCAATATAGCTTTTAACGTCATATGAATAAGAGTTTAGTACTCATAATAAAGAATATCAATGCAACGACTATTACTATTGCACAATGCCGTAATAACGGGACTCTGGATAAGTGAAGCATTTTAATAACAGGAATAATAGCTGTATATATATTTTTTTATAACAACACTATTATCAGATATACATATTAAATTAAATAAGATACATACACATATGTAAATGAAAATGCTTTTGAGGATTTGTTAGATCACGTTTGTAAAAAAAATATTGTGCTAATCGATTAGTTTCGAGCGACCTCAGGGACCTATAATCATGAGCAATATTCACTACAACCAAATTTGAATAAGAAATTTGAAACTTACTAATTCAACAATACACATCACCTATCTAAACTTAACACCTTCGTAACAATAGCTTAAATAACAATACAAAATTTGATCTTGACGTTTATTTATTTTTTAAATTGCCAACCTACATAGTGACAACCCTAAAATACTTAAACCGTACACGGAAAGGTCAAGCACACATTCTTTAGTTGTAAAGACGGTGAATAAACAACGCGAGCGCGATGAATGGGCCGCCTTAATGACCAACGCGTTTTAGTAAGGCAGGGAGAACTAAACTGTAAACTCTTGAGACTCATCTGTGACGAGGACAGGGTTTTTGATTAAAGGCTTTTAGTTTAATTGGTTACATAATTTTGCTTCATTTGGTTGAGTGGTCGTGAACGCGACTGCCGAACGATGGATCCCAGTCTCAGGCAAAATATTGAATAGGGGATTCTTTTGAAAGTTCAGTGTTTGGAAGTGTGCTTGATATAAGAAAATAATGGTCGAATTGCTGGCTTTTGTAAAATAAAAATTGTTTTTATTTCAGTAGCTCGGTCCCACAGCAAAATGTGGGCACGTACGACATATCGCTGGGGTCGTAAGTGATGAAAAGCGAATGTTACATGGTTTTTTGTGCTATGTACCTCTGTCTACTCCCCCGGAATCAAAGGGAGTGACGTTATACCATAGTCAAGCAAAAGAATAAACAAAACTTTGCTATTAGTTTCTTTTGAAAATAGTTTTATCGCGTAGCAAACAGCTACGAGTTACGACGGCGTAGCAGCGTAGCGGCGTAGCATCCAACACATTAGTCGTAGCACCCGTTTAATCATTGTCATGTTGAACAAATAACGATTGTTTAGTATTCATGTATTCATTCCGTGACTCTAGTCTTGAATTTCACGTACGTTACGACTTGCGAGCTAGGCTTTAACCAAATTCAAGGTGATTATTCTGAACTTAGTCTCAAGATCGGAACAGATGGAAGGTAATGTAAAAAGATAACTATATGCCAATAAATTTCGTGGTTAAGCTAGCTGTTTGAAGAAAAATCCCATCTAGAATAATAAAGATTAGATTGATGTCGCTCTTTTTGATATATTTTATAATGTGTAGCATTCTAGAAGATGCAAGGTGCAAGGCTCAGGCTATTATGCTATAATGCTCTGTACTTTGCTGTATTGTATCTAGGTTTGTATCAGCCGTAAATTTAAATTTAATATAATTAGATAATAGGTAAATTCTCAAATATATTATTGTAAGTATTTTTAAGACTGATGGCCACAATGTCCTATTGGAATTGTCTGTAATGGTAGTTGTGTACATAAAATAATAAAAAAAAAATGTATCTGGCGGTGGTACCTGTAGCGAGCATCTCGATTGGTTTATTGGGTGATAGATGCTTTATCCCCCGACCCCGACCCCATCTTATGATTTACAATTTTGAAAAATAAATAAAATTATTCAGTCGGACATGAGTTGTAGTCGTTATGTAACGTCAGTTCGTCAACTATAGTTATTGGCTTCTTCCAATTTACAAAGAAAACAAAAGGAATTATTTGTAAGACATTAAAAGCAATATTTTCAAGGTTTCGCATTCAAAGTCTTTGTGGAATTATTTCTCAATATTTTGCTCCTAAATATAGAGTGACACCAAGTAAGTCAGGGATTATTTCTTCGTATAGTTACCATGGAAACGAATTTCCATTATCGTAAACGCTTTGTTCGTAATGTTTTCATTAATGTCTCTCTTTTCTTATGGATGTTAAGACTATTTTTATTTTCTCTTTGATAAAGAAACGTTTAATTTAATATTTCTCTCTGTATTGTAAGTGTTTTAAAATCATATCATTTTACACACTTATCTCATTCAGACTCGTAAAGATTGTAAATATTTGTGGATCAGACTCTACGGGAATCAAACTTTTATTATTTATTTTTATTTATTTATAATCACAACAGTGTATAGATATTGAGTTTACAACTTATTCCCACAAAACCGGTTTAGCAGTTTGACAGCCGCATTGTTTTACAAACACTAATCCTTACTAATATTATAAATCGAAAAGTGAGTTTGTTTGTTTGTTCCGCTTTCACAACGTAACTACTAAACCGGTCGCTTTGAATTTTTGCAGACGTAAAGTTAGAAATCCTGATTAAATAATAGATTACTTTTTATCCCGGAAAAAATTGATATTCCCGAGGGAAAACAAAACTATTGGTTTAGATGGCGCTGTGTGTATTGGTATATGTCACATAGGCTACTTTTTATCCTTTTGTAAAGCGAGCGAAGCCGCGGGTAAAAGCTAGTAAATATTATAAACTACTAATAACAGTATAACTACTCAATTATTTTATTGCATAGAAATATTTCTTTAACTTAACTTTAAACAGTCTTATGTTATTTTCTTGTCTGAAGTCTGCCGGTAAACTATTAAGGTCATATGGTACATGTTAGCACCCACATTATGATGCACAGGAACCAACCTATGTTTATTAATACCTTTATTTTCTTTTCATCCTACCTTCAAAGTCCAGTTCTGTGTAGTCATGGTGTGTGAGCTTCCTTGCCGCGGGATCTGTGGGCGCCTCATCATCATCAGCTCTGGTCTCCATCGTCCACGGTCTAAGGACAAATAAGATTCACTTTTTAATAAATAAGTACAATAGTGGATTTTGTTTGAAGCAATGCTGTGGCAATATTGAATTGTGGTGAATCGAGATCGTCGAATCAATCGTCTTTAATGGGAGCTATGTGCATAATTGATAGCTTTTCTTCTTATAAAAGAACACTTCGATAACATTTCTTTCATCAGTTATGAATATGATCCTCTTTTTTGAATTTTTATTATTCACATAGATTTATTTAAAATTCTCTACAATTTACATTTTTAAATACTACTTGCAATAAAATAAAAATAATATTTAATAATATAAAAAATAGAAGCCGACCAGTAGCGGGAGCATGCTCCAAGCTACCGGTGGTTAGGGCTCCAGAGACAGAAACCTCCTCACGATACGTGCCGTTTCTAGGAGAACTGCCTTCTGTATCAGAAGAATTATTATTATTATACTTACAAAATGTTGATCCGTTGTAAATGAAAATTAAAAAAAAAACCAAGACTATAATCGAAACCTCTCACACGAGTCACACGTAACCGATAAAGTTGATACGTCTACCAAATACAGATTAATACCAATATCCCTACAACCAATTGTCTTACATTGAGGTGTCTCTCAGTCGATTTCCCAAGAGCACTAATTGGTAATCAACGAGCTGAATAATACACACGATACACATATACATACACGGTCGAACACACAGTACATACATAACCAGTTGACGAACACACACCGGAGTTTCCTCTGGGAATACAGGCGTCAGAGATTACTTATATCATGTTTACTTGTAATTATGATTTATAAGCCTTGCTTCCTTCATTGGTTTAGTAATGGTTTGTATTGGGAAATAACTTCTTTGCCAATTGTGTTATAGTTTTATTTTTCTAGAAATATCAAAGTGTGCATTTATTTCATCCTTAATTAATTATTAATAAGGCACTTTTAAAGCGTCAAAAATTGAATTGTCCGTCCGTATGTCTGTCAGTAAAGCTAGGCGCGCGTTCCAAAGTGTAGTTTCGAATGGAGAAGAACGAGCGCGAAAGCAACGAAATAGAACCTTGTGTTGGTTGTTTGAACTGAACTTGAACCGGTGTTAGATGCAAATTAGTGTTAATTTATATACTTAAATATTACGTAAACTTCGATTGGTTGACCTGGGAATCATTTGAGGGCGTAATACAAGTTTGTGTTACATATAAAGTAATCGAAACGAGATCGCGTTCTCTGATTGGCCGGTTCCAATGAACCAACCAATCACAGCGCCGAATCTCGTTTCGATTATTACCTAAGTAAGTAGTAAGCCCTCTGATTAGAATTTAGACCGATTATTATATTAATAATGAATATTGTGTGTACCTAGAGTATTTATGCAAACATATTTATTAGGAAATGAGTATTATATTTTTAAACCAACGCAAAGTGGTACGTTGCAACCGTTAACAATAATTTATGCTACACGTGGCGGGAGCTTTGCAATGTTGCACAATATATTTGTGTATGTATGATAGAATTATAGAACCTACAGTCACTGTTATACAGTTAGATTTTTACATGGAACAAACTTCATAGGAAACTCAACCTTATGTCTTATATTCCTCGTAAAATATTAGTATTATATTTAAGGGACATTATTTTACAATCTGCAATAGGCTATGTAACTCCCTATTACATGGGACTCATAATATAAATAGTAAAAAGTGTGTGTTACATTGTACAGTGACATTAAGTGCCGTAATGTGCACCTCTGCCTACCCCTTAGGAGATAAAAGGCGTGATATTGTGTGTGTATGTGAAAATTCAACTCAAATAAAATTTAAATTTATATGTGTAGCATCCAATGTCGCAATCAGAGAGACACGTGTACGAACGAACGCACATATAATTATGTGGATGAATAATTTCCATTTATTGTAGGATACGAGTATAACATATTTTATTTTATTGAGTATATTTTTGCCCTATAACTTGCATACTACTACTTATCCCTAATGAAGAGTAGTTATGATAAAAATATATGACCCTTATTTTTAACACTTCAGCTGGTAGCACAAGCCACTTTAGGAGAAAATATCGAGACTTTTTAAAAGCACAAAGAAAAACATAATGCAAGTAGTATGGCGACTAAAAGGTTCAGCTCTCTATGTGTTCATATACTTTTAAACTTTTGCTACTGAGTTCCATAATATGCATACTTTAGCAACGTAGTTGGTTTCATTTCAGCGGTTTCAATAATAGCATGAAGGTTGGAGTTGCCTCGTTGGTGAGTGGTCGCAAGTGCGACTGCCGGGCAAGGGGTCTCGGTTTCGATTCCCGGGTCGGACAAAGTTTTACTGGGTTTTTAAAAATCTCAGTAGTAGCACGGAGTCTGGAAATTTGCCCGGTATATGGCAATAGGCTCACCCCCTATTACATGGGACTCAAAACATAAATAGTGAAAAGTGGGTGTTACATTATATAGTGGCATTAAGTGCCGTAATGTGCACCTCTGCCTACCCCTTCGGGACTAAAAGGCGTGATGTTATATGTTGGAGTCCAGAATTTGTTTTGTTTTTAAGGGTAAAATCATCGAATGACTTCTCCCGCCTGGGTGAGGCAGGAGGAAGTGTCAGACTCTTACTGACTAAAAACCAACCCGTTGCTACTCGTGCACTTTGAGACGGAGCCCCGGTAACCCGTTAGGTCCTTCGCGGGTCACAACGGAACAACACTTTGTGTGATCCATTAATTGTTGTTTCGGGTCTGGGTGTCATTGTGTATGTAAACTTGTATGTTTGTAAACGCTCCCACGACACAGGAGATAACCCGAACGTGGCGCAACGTTTTATTTAAAAAAAAGAAGCTATGCATAAGTGTAGAAATAATAACTTCTCTAATCAAAAAGGCAAATGAACCAGCATTTTTACATTTACAATCACAAATAACATTAACAAAATTCGCCGACATTCAAAATTGTACCGCGTTGCTTCCAATTCGTTACTTTCAGAACGTTAAAGTGAACCGCCTAAGCTTATTAAAGGAACAATACCGCAGGCATTTTGGGGATTTCATTGGAAACGTTACTGTAGCTACTTTTTTGAGGTACAGGAAATTAATTTGCCTTGTCTTTTAGCGGGATTTTATATTTGTACCTACACGTGTGGGCGACAAGGGAAGTCTTTGCTTCGATCGCAGTAGCATTATAAGGTAATATTAGGGTTTTATATCATATATTTGTTACAAAGCACAGATTTCCATTGTTATGTTTAACTGGTACGCATAGGTTTCGTTTTATGGGAAACTTAACCAGTAGCAGCGGCACAGTCGCCGCTTTGCAGGTCGCGAAATGCTGCTCATGAATATGAGCCTCTAGCATGGCTTGAAACTAGTCAAGTTCCTCATCAAATAATTACGTGAGTAAGCCGAAAACATAATAATAAACCTGACTAATATGGCCTCATTGCTAAAAGCCTCGACCAACATCTGAGTAGGCTAACGTTAGATGGCTGGGTCAAGGGCCTGATGCAGAAAGCAGTACTTCTAGACACGGCGCGTATTGTCCGGAAATTCCTTTCTCTGGAGCCCTGACCACCGGTAGCTTGGATTTCTCCCGTTACTGGTGGGCTACTGCTTTTTATATTTTTAAATGTTTTTTTTATACAAATCAAATATTTAAAAATGTATAAATCAAGTATAGAGATAAATAAAGGAAATAATAACTTGACTAGTTTCAAACCACGCTTGGAGCTCATAATTCATGAGCGAAACAATGAATTCATCAACGCAATAACGAAAAAGAATAACTTATGGAGTTTTTTGCTCTTTGATCTCCATAGGAATCTACACTTTGGAACGAGTAGCGTAATAGCTAGGAAAGAGCTTCACTAAAGAACTGAACGACAAAGTGACATTTGTAACATTTGTTTGACATTCAAAAGCACCTTCTTGGTCTAATAAAAAAAAATAATTTTGACTTTGACTTTGACCACCATTGCGGTGTACACGACGCGGCAAACGTCACGCAGATGGTGTACAAAAATTCAGGCTCCATGCCAACAGTACTATGATTTTTCTTGAAACCAAAAAAACGCAGACTCGACAAACGACTTCCAACTAATACTTATTACATTACTAACATTCACCAAGACTTTTAGATTGGCACGTGTCGACACAAGAACATTTATTTGATCACGAACATGTAACAATTGACCGAGACCATCTCGAGTGTTGTTACGAACAATAACTTAGGCCTTTAGCTTAGAATCCTACGAAAATACCCATATGTATCTCCTGAAAGAAATATAAAGTCTTATCACTACAGAGATAGGGTCTGATTTTAAATGATGCTATTACTAAGGATATTGTAGGCTTTCAGTGAAAATGTGGGCTGTATTTCAAGACGTGACGTTGGTATGGAATGTCCAAAATGACGTGACTCAGAGATTTTAGATGTACTACGACATATCACGTTTCCTTTTAGTTGTAAAAATAGACAGCGGTTTGATATCCGTCTTTTATCAATGTGCAAGCAAAAGGCTCGCCTTCAGTTTTCACCAGTTTTGGTAAAATCTGTTACAATTTTTAGAATTTCGGGAAATTTTCTCTCCCATATGTTATTACTTCGAATTAAATGTTTCTTTTATGTAACTATAAATGTAATCAATTGCTCAAGGACGATGTTGCATAAATACCACGAAAAAAGCGATTAAAACTGTAAGATCAATTTATTTTTGTCCGCGTTTCAGGAGCATTCCATTTCCACGCTGTATATCTAGCATATTCGTATAAAATTCCATCCATCCATATATCATTTCATCCTTATCATTTTCATTAATCAATATTTAAACTTCTATATGTAATTAAATGCTATTTGAGCTTCCAATCATGATGGAAACCCCTCGATGGGTATCACCTCGATAGACAATCTTATCTGTGTGTGCCATCCAATTTGTTTGTAATCGTGTTTTGCACGCGATCGTCATGGTGTACGATAGGTAGGTGGACCTGGACCAGTGTCG